ATGTGACTTTATAATTTGCCTTTAGAAACTATGTGGAAAACACGAGGGCGGCAGAAGTGAGAGAATTATAAAGCATTCGGATACTCCGTCTCATTTTCTCAAAGAAGGTGAGGTTCTTATCTAAATGCTGCCGAAAGATTGTAGACGGAGGTAGACAGGAAAGTTCCATAATTTATGATTCTACAGTTTTCAGGGTTTTTTTAAATCGTATTTCATAAAAGGTCCACTTAGAAACTTGAACTGGATAGAACTGCAAAGCTTACATCTTTGCTAAGCCGTGTTTTACCCCTCTGGGAATAATCGCTAGTATTAGTTTCTTCTAAAGAACTACTAGTTTGCACTTTGCCTTCTTACCATCTGAAAGGACTTCTCAGGCATCTGTTAGTCAGTCAGTCAGTAATATTTACTCAGCACCTACTAGTCTCCAGGGACTCTGATCAGAACTTACTTATGAAAAAAACAAAACTTGTGTCAAACACCGCCTTTCCTCTTATTTTCTCCTTCGTATTTCCTTCACTGGGAGATTATTTTGAAAAGAATTCTCTGCAAAATTCTCTTTTGCTTCATACTTTATCTGCTACCTAAGCTGTAATCAGATATTTATTTTAAACCCAGGAAACTTTCTGCTAATTAAAACATCTTTTTTTTTTTTTTTGCCAGAGCAATTAAGGGGTTAAGTAATAGTCCTATCTAACTTTGAAGGTATTATGCTAAGTGAAAAAAGTCACACAGAGAAAGACAAATACAGTATGATCTCACTAATATGTGGCATCTAATAAAACCAAACTCATAGAAGCAGAAATCAGATTTATGGTTGCCACAGGTGGGGCTTGGGGAGCCAGGGAATAGGGTACAAACTTCCGGTTATAAGATAAATTAGTTCTGGGAATATAATGGACAACATAGTGACTATAGTTAAAAATACTATATTGTATCTTTGAAAGTTCGCATCACATGGAAGAAAAAATTTTATAACTATGTGACATGATGGATGTTAACTAAACTAACTTACTGTGGTAATCATTTCATAATGTATACATATATCGAATCATTATTTTGTATACCTTAAACTAATGCAGTGTTATATGTCAATTATATCTCAATAAAAATGGAAAACATAAAAAATAGAACATTAAAAAATTATCGTTCCGTCCAGCTAATTATACCAGAGAGTGAAAAAGGAGCAGCTGTATTCTGAGGTACAGAGGAGAAAGCACGGGATGTGGGGTGTGAGGAGATGTGAGGAGACCCAAGGATGAGTCCTAGCTCTGCCACTCCATTTCCGCCTTCATTCATTCATTCATTCATTCATACATGCATTCGACAAATGTTCATCGAACTCCTTAGTGGGCCAGACTCAGACATGGCAGAGAATAAAGCAAAGGAGACCCTCGCCCTACCAGAGCTTACACCCTGAGAGAGAACATGAAACAAAGCCACCCACTCAATACTTTGCCTCTCTGAATTGTGACTTTCTCACCTACGAAATATAGATTTTTGCATATATAAATGAAATGATATAAACAACATACCTGGCACACAGTAGGCAATAGATTAAATGGAGCTATTATTTCTGTTCCACTTCTCTATCAAACTCTCTCTCAGCCCTACCTCCACCTTTTTTTATTTCATCCCACAAACATTGACGGAATCCATCCCCAGGATTTGCAAGGCTCCAGGCCAGAAAGGCTGAAAGAGCTGGACGTATTCTGACCTCTGCCCTGCGGAAGACATTGTCCAGGACTCGAACTAGACAAAGCGGAAGCCTGGGGATTCTCGTGGTGGAGCGAGGGGCAAAACCGAACGGACCTTTTAGGAATTATTGGTTTCTACAGAAGCGGGCTCCTTTCACTGTATTTCTATTGACGAGGCTATATTACAACGTCGCAAGGGTACAAGTTAAATTGTAGAAAACCAATGGCGAGCAAATGAATGTTCTCCAGTAGAGATCATTTGATTTCTACTCTGTAGAAAAGATGATCCCAAACATAACATTTTGTTGCCCTATAGGATAGTGACAAGTTTTGCGACTATTAGCAAACATTCATGTCGGCAATTGCTGATGACTATATAGATGTCTGTTCTTCAGAGGATCCTTTGAACCAGTCATAACATCTTACTGGTTCTCTCATTAATTAATGAGTCGAGTGAAATCTTTGACGTGTGTTCACATATATTTGCATGGCAATCATGTTTTTTAATTCCTTAAAAATTATAATGTAGAAGCCCTAATGAAGCTTATGGTCTCTAGGGAGGCAAAAAGCAAATTTTAAACATTAATCGTTTAATTAAAATGTGAATAAGTGCTGGCAATGAGAAACACATACTTACCTCTGAACCTCTGAATAGACTCTAATATTGTAATGACAGCCCCTTCGCTGGGACAGAGAAGCTGCAAGCCTCACGCCAAAGATTCCTGCCAGCTTTTCCTCCAACGGCAATCCCATTTGGAGCAATCTATGACTGGAGGCTCCGAGGAACTGCTAGGCACAGAGGGAGACGTTTTAAAAGTTAGGTTACAATAAAGTCCTTTTGGCTACTGAGAACACACAATAATGTGTTGTTTTTTAGTTAACAGGTTTTTAAAGATCAAGGAAAGTGGCCGAGATGCGGATTAGTTATTTCCAAACTGCGGTTCTCCCCTTCATCTTCAGAATTCTAGGGGAATGACTTCGGCACGAAGGGTCGGGGGACATCGAG